GGTCAGCCAGGCCCATGCGATCGGCGTAGGCGAAGGCCAACGCTTCGGCCACCCAGTGATAGGCCTGGGCCGTCGGACCTGGAGTCGCCGGCAATAAATAAATCTATGTCGCGTGCACGCATCGGGTGTGTCGTGTCGTGTCGTGTCGCGTGCGTGCGTGTCGTGTCGTTTTGCGTGCGTGCGTCGAGTTTCGTGCGTTGCGTACCGAGCAGGGGCAGATTGTAGGCCTCGAGGAGGTTGAGCGCCATCACCACGCAAGCGCCGCCGAACGGTGGACCTGCGCTTTATTTAGTATTGTTAGTATTTAAATAGTAGAAAAACAAATAAATTATAAAGTAGAAATCAAAGCCATGGTGATGGTGTACCTCAGCACCTCCAGCCCGCGGTAGAATCCCTTCACCGGCCTTCGCACCTACATTTGTGTGTTGTGTTGTGTTGTGTTGTGTTGTGTTGTGTTGTGTTGTGTTGTGTTGTGTTGTGTTGTGCGTGCGTGCGTGTTAAGGGTGGTGTATAGAGCAGTGTGAAGTGTGAAGTGTGAACCTTAACGGTGCCGTTGTGGAGGTAGTTGTGAAGATCGTCGGCAGTGATGATGCCTCCAGCCTGCTGGATGTCGGCCACCAGCTGTTGCGCCAGCGATGACGTACGCGAGTAGAACGCCGATGCGCCGTTCTCTGCCTGCACCGCACGACACGCACCGCACGCACCGCACGCACCGCACACACCGCACGTGATTGTAACAATCATTCAAACCTCAACGAATCAAAATGGAAATGGTGTAAAACGAACCACGAGCGCGAGCGTGTCGGCCAGGCGCGGATTGAAGACCGTGTCGCCCTCCTTCTTGCGCACCCCGTCGGGCGCGTACACCGACCGAAGCCCCGGGTCCACCACGATCTCCGGCGTGTCCTGCACAATGCGGTCAGTACCGAAGTCTGAAAAGAAAAGAAAAGAAATGAAAAACTATGGAAGAGAAGAAGACGAGAGTACGGCGATCCACTTGGCGAGGAGCGCGGGAACGGTGAAGTTGCGGGCCAGCTGGGCCGAGGGCATGACGAGGTCCTTCCACGCCACGTGGCCCGACCCGTGTTGCTGCCACGCGTACTCGAGCCCGGCCAGCTCGCCCGGCACCGCCACGCTGAGCCCGCCCGTGCGGCTGGCCTCGACCGGTCGGTCGCGGTACATGTCCTGCGACGCCGCGCTGGGCGCCACCTCCCTGAAGTCGATCAGCTCGCTGTGCCCCTCTTTCGTGTGCAGCCTTAAGGTGGTCGCCAATGTACACGTGCCATAGAGATACACACACGCGTAGTGGTTTAGGCTTGATTGCAGATTGGGCCACGTGTGGTTCATAAAGATGATCAGGAGGTGGCGAGAGATGTACAGCATGACGCCACCGCCGCCGATCCCCGAGGAGAAGCTGTTGAGCACCCCGATGCACAGACAACTCGCCACCGCTGCATCCACCGCGTTTCCTGCACATAAAATAGGAATTAGGTAAATTTTTAAAATAAAATAAATAAATAATTGTGGATTTAAAAATTAATTATAAATCAAAGAACGAAAGCGTGGGGAAAGAACGAAAGAGAGAG